AGCTCCCAGATGGTTTTGTTGCAGCCAGTCTGATGCCAGTTTATAAGGTTTCATTTGTGATCAGTGTCCTAGACCGAGATGGTCATCAAAGATCAGGGAGTAGGGCTTCCCTGGTGGCGCAGTGGTTGAGAGTCCGCCTTCTGATGCAGGGGACACGGGTTCGTGACCCGATCCGGGAAGATCTCAGATGCCGCGGAGCGGCTGGGCCCGTGAGCCATGGCCGCTGAGCCTGTGCGTCCAGAGCCTGTGCTCCCCAACGGGAGAGGCCACAACAGTGAGAGGCCCGCGTAACGCAAAAAAAAAAAAAAAAAAAAAACGGAAGGTAAGATTTTTTGAGTTAAAAATTTTTAAGACTTTTAAAATTGATTTTTATTGGAGTATAGTAGATTTACAATGTTGTGTTAGTTTCTGCTGTACAGCAGAGTGAATCAGTTATACATGTACATATATCCACTCTTTTTTAGAATCTATTCCCATGTAACTCATTACACTCTTTTTTAGATTGTATTCCCATGTAGGTATTCAGTAGAGTTCCCTGTGCTATACAGTAGGTTCTTATTAGTTATCTATTTTTTATATAGTAGTGTTATATGTCAATCCCAATCTTCCAATTTATCCCTCCTCCCCATTTCCCCCTTGGTAACCATAAGTTTCTTTTCTACATCTGTGATTCTACTTCTGTTTTGTAAATAGGTTCATTTGTACCATTTTTTTTAGATTGAACATATAAGCAATATCATATATTTGTCTTTCTCTGTCTGACTTACTTCACTCAGTATGACAATCTCTAGGTCCATCCATGTTGCTGCAAATGGCATTATTTCATTGATTTTTATGGCTGAGTAACGTTCCATTGTATATATGTACCACATCTTCTTTATCCATTCCTCCATTGGTGAACATTTAGGTTGCTTCCGTGTCCTGGCTATTGTAAATAGAGCTGCAATGAACACTGGGGTGCATATGTCTTCTTGATTTATGGTGTTCTCTGGGTATATGCCCAGAAGTGAGATTGCTGGATCATATGATAGTTTTAGTTTTTTAAGGAACCTCCATACTGTTCTCCATAGTAGCTGTATCAATTTACATTCCCACCAGCAGTGTAGGAGGGTTCCCTTTTCTCCACACCCTCACCAGCATTTATTGTTTGTAGATTTTTGGATGAAGGCCATTCTGGTCAGTGTGAGGTGATACCTCATTGTAGTTTTTGTTTTGTTTTGTTTTGTTTTTTGCGGTACATGGGCCCCTCACTGTTGTGGCCTCCCCCGTTGTGGAGCACAGGCTCCGGACGCACAGGCTCAGCGGCCATGGCTCACAAGCCCAGCCGCTCCACGGCACGTGGGATCTTCCCGGACCGGGGCTCGAACCCGTGTCCCCTGCATCAGAAGGCGGACTCTCAACCACTGCGCCACCAGGGAAGCCCCCCTCATTGTAGTTTTGATCTGCATTTCACTAATAATTAATGATGTTGAGCATCTTTTCATGTGCCTCTTGGCCATGTGTATGTCTTCTTTGGAGAAATGTCTATTGAGATCTTCCACCCATTTTTTTGACTGGGTTGTTTGGTTTTTTGACATTGAGCTGCATGAGCTGTTTGTATGTATTGGAGATTAAGCCCTTGTTTGTGCATTCATTGGCAAATATTTTCTCCCATTCTGTGGCTTGTCTTTTCATTTTGTTTATGGTTTCCTTTGCTGTGCAAAAGCTTTTAAGTTTCATTAGGTCCCACTTGTACATTTTTGGTTTTATTTTCATTACTCTAGGAGGTGGACCAAAAAAGATCTTCCTGTGATTTATGTCAGAGAGTGTTCTGCCTATGTTTTCCTCTAAGAGTTTTATATTATTTGGTCTTACATTTAGATCTTTATTTTCATGTATGGTGTTAGAGACTGTTCTAATTTCATCCTTTTACACGTAGCTGTCCGATTTTTCCAGCACTACTTAATGAAGGGACTGTAAGACATTCCTTTTAAGATTTCTACTCTACACAACTGCTTTCGAAATGCAAATAGAAGAGGCAGTTACGATACAAGATCACTTAGCAACCACCCATTACCATTCAAATTTTAAGACACTGAGAAAATGGGGTTAGAGGTAGAAGGAGGAAATTTGAGGGAAGGAGTATTTGGGATTGTGTAACACTGATTGAAAAAGAGGGCCTGGAGGTGTCCAAAATGTGCCACATGATGGCAAAAATACTTTTGAAGGAGTGGTGCAGTGAAGCGCAAGAGCAGAGAAACAAGATAATTCATACTCTGCTTCTCACAGTGTCCTTTTAAGAACCACTAATTATTGATCTTTTTGTGGATAAGACTGATGGGAGGCAGGTAAAGCTTACATTATGGTAATTGAGCTATTCCATGCTAGAGGTGTTAATAAGATGGAATGAGGATTAGCACAAAGTTTGTGACATATCAGGCACCTTAGAAAGTAAACAAGTGTACCATTAACTCAGCTAACAAAACTAAAATAAATGAGTTCATTAAATGGTATAAAACTGCATAATATTCAAAAAGAGGAAAATCACAAAAAGATTTCACAACCTTCCTTATTCAAAACAATACCTGTAATATAATATATATTCAATAAATATTTCATGAACTAATTGAAAATCCAAAAATTCACGCATATTTTTACTAATTTTTGAATCAGATGTCTCTGAATTTCCTTAGTCAATTCTTCTAGCTCATTCTAATCACTAAATGGCAAGGATTTTATGTGGCTATTTTTTGTCTTCAATAAAAAATTTGAACCCAAATTTTCAGGGGTAAGGTTGTTTTTGATGAATGATAGCTCTAGACATGGTCTACGAACCCAGAGAAATATGTTCTTAGAAGGAGTGTTTTCCCTCTAACCCTACACCTGTGCTGCCACAGCCCTAGCCACTTCCTGTCTGTGAAGGCAATTCCCTGCCCTGGTCCCTATAGCAGGCAGATGTATCAAGCAGAGCCCTGGGTTGTGGTATACCTGCCTCCAACACGCCTCTCACTGTGGGCTCACTCAGTGCACAGAAATACACTGCAGAGTCCTCCAGCTGTGAAGCTGAGATGGCAAGTTTGATGGATTTGTTTGCCTTCTGGAAATTCAGTGAGTAGCGACCTTCTGTTGCATTTTGCTGGTTATAAGAGTCCTGACGAATAAGGAGAATCATCGCCCCACTGCTGGGCTGCTTGTACCAGTATAGACTATAAGTGAAATCATTTGTGTCATATATGCAATCCAGGGTCACAACCTCCTTCTCCTGCACTAATATTACTGGTTGGTCTTGAGTTACCTTCTGGGCAATACTGGATCCTAAAGGAAAAAAAAGCAGAATCAGAAGTTTAAGAATAAGTACTGTGGAACAAAGAAATTCTATTTTACACTCTACTGCCCCTTCTTCCCAGGGTGCCCATAACCACCTGTTTCCCCAGTCCTTAGGTCCTAGAGGGGTAGAGTCCCACTGGGGCCATCCTTACCTAGCCACAGTGAAGCCATGACCACCTTCAGAAGGCTGGAGAGAAGCATGTTTGAGGTCTTCCTCTAGATGGAAAGTGTCTTCTTCAATTTCAAGGCTCTGCAAGGTGAGGTGAGCCTGACAGGGTGAGGGAAGAATTGCTGAGCTATGTGTTGCTGCTGCCCCACAACAGGAAACAGCGGTTTCCTGGAGGAGCAAGTTGATGTGGGTCATGTCAGCTTCTCTATGGACTAGGTGAGACTCTCACTCAACCCAGACTTCCTTTTGCATTAACCAGCACTTCAACTGATAGCAATTACATCTGAAAATGAACACGAGGTAAATTTGTTATTGAAAGGGAGATTGATGATTCGACCAACTGCTGTGTTTAGTTGTTGCGTCTGTGATGGAACTTATTTTAAAATACTACATATAATGGATTATGGAAGCAACCTAAGATGTAATGATCATGTATCCTTACACCTATGTATGCTTTTCTTTCACCTAAGGTAGAAATAAATCACTTTATGATAAGAAGGCAAATCTCTTTAGACTAATTACTGCAGCTTCTTCCACCTATATATTGATATAGCCATCAATATAATTATTCACCACAACATCTGTCCAGTTACCTATCTTGGGACCTAATAGCAGGAGAAAAGATAATCTCCCTTTGCAGAAGACTAGAATGAAGCTTGCAGACATGGAGTCCTGTCACAGAGGTCCCCTTCTCTTCTCTATTAGTTTTGACAGCCCAGCTCTGTTCAGAAAGGCCAAAATAGATGCCAGAGTTTGGTCATTAGGTTATCAAACCTTTGAATTTATATTTTTCCCATTAACTCAATTGGGATCCTAAAGGAGCCACAAGAAGCCCCTATATTCTGTGCACCCAGCTCTAAAGGCAATATATTGCAGGTGACATCATACACCTCCATAAGACAGCTGATCATAAGTTCACCACTGATTGTAATAAACTTTTCCTTGTGTATGAATGTAAAAGGAAAGCCATGCCTAAGGATATTACTAATAATTACATGGCAAACAACAAAGACCCATTGCCTAACATGGCCTACCCCTTAAAGTTCAACAAAACTTACACTCCTTGTCTCAAAGTAATTACAGCCTTGGCTAAATTTGTTGAAGCATCTTCAGATCTTGCTCCGGAATCTCCATTTAAATCAGATGGTACTACATACAGTACAAATTGTTCTCCAATCTAAAACACTCAAACTTTGTCTACCTGTTAGTTGACTAATCATAAAATATTAATTTCTCCGCATATTATTCAACTTTGTTACACTTCTCAATTAAAGGATCTCATGATTGTACTTCTGTTATTCAAAATGCCTTCATGTCCGCAACAGATCGTTTGGACACTCTCATACAAAATTCTGAATTGACATGTTTTTAAAATAATCTTACTTTAAATATTGAAAAGAAAAAATACCAAGCTAGTTACGCAATAGCTACTCTAAACTCCCTTTAAAACCAGTCATTAGCAGGAGCAAAATTAACTCAAGTAACTGAACTTGTGGATCTCTCTTGGATGTAGTAAATTACAAAATGTATACATACAGTGTTAGTTATAGATTTTTTTTTTTTTTTTTTTTGCTGTACGCGGGCCTCTCACTGTTGTGGCCTCTCCCGTTGCGGGGCACAGGCTCTGGACGCGCAGGCTCAGCGGCCATGGCTCACGGGCCCAGCCGCTCCGCGGCATGTGGGATCTTCCCAGGCCAGGGCACGAACCCGTGTCCCCTGCCTCGGCAGGCGGACTCTCAACCACTGCGCCACCAGGGAAGCCCTAGTTATAGATTTTTAACACAGTTCACGGCTTCCAAATACTAGGAAGACAATGAGGTTTTTTAATCATCTTAACCTTTTCTTAACCTTCTTGTGTATCTCACGTATGCCTATTAAAAATGGATGCCAAATGAATTATTTGATGTCTTCATGTTACTGAAAGAAATTTTTTTCATAAAAACCAACTCTCACAGTGTAAAAGACTCTGTAGAAGCTAGGAAAAAATGCTTGAACAGATTATTATGCTAGGCATCCCTTTCTGACTTAATCCTTATGCAAGCACCTCTTCTAGAACATAAAGAGAAATCCATGGAGAAATTCAATAATTCCATCTTCGATGCACAAAATTTGGCCCGAATTTTGTAAAGAATCATTACGAATGATTGATTTGTTGGATTCATGAGGACAAGATATATGAAAGCCAGGACAGCTGTCTGATGGAGCCTAATGATCTCCGATGAACTCTTGCTAAAGTCCTCCAGAGAAAAGACATCACAGTAGGGACATATTGGCTGCAACATTAAACAAACACTGGTGGGGAAACTTCTAGGATGGTAAAGAATGGGGTCAGTTCATGCCTTTCTTGGAGCAAACAAACTCCCATAAGAATCTGTAAAGGTGGGATATGAACTGGAATACTGTCCCAAGGAAACATTTGGGGTATTTTGAAAAGGAGTTAAACAATTGCTTTTTCCCCATGGGTTATGAGTATGTACTAGTAGTAGTATTTTTATTTCTACATGGGTTGAAGCAGTGTTTTGTCAGAGAATCCACAGCACTCACCATAGTTGAAAATCAACTTGATATTGTGTTTACTACCTGTGCCATTTCAATGTATATCTATATAGGGGAGCTATAGAAAGTTTTGGCCCTCACTCAGAAATTTTAGTACTCTTATCATCCCTCTATCTTCTGAAGAAGTGGAAAGAACAAATGGAATATTAGAACTGAAATGAATTACTGTATCAGACACCCTTGGACTACTATGGCCTAATGCATTATTAATTAGCCTTGGCCCCCATGGCCCTGCTTTCTTCCCCTCACAAAGTCATATGTTGTCTCACTATGAACTGGTCACTGATAGGCCCAGGTAACTCACAAGGTCCCAAACGGCACGTATTCCAATCTTCCACAAACTGAACTAAACTAGATAAACCCAATGTAATCAGTCCTTTCATCACAGGCAGAGGTTGATTTTTTAGCCTTTCATTTAATCAGCTTTTACATGACATTAATCTGGGTGACGGGATGCTCTGCAAGATACCCAGAGAAAGACTACCAATGAGCTTGCAGAAATGACCTTATTAGGTACTATTTGTTACCAATTCAGCAGATAAAGTACAAGAAATACATCCTGTGTTACATGTGCACCAACTAGCATAACATCATGCTTCCTTAATTGACAAGAATTGAAAAGTTACCCACATTAGAAATACTAAACTAAGGTTCTCCGGGGAATGGTCAGAAGTAGACATTCTATAGAAGATGAGGCTGACCCACGATACTTAAAACAAACATATAATTGCCTAAAGTATACATCTCCATCCAAGACCATTAGAAGAGAATTCTCCCAGATGTTTGGAGATTGTCACACCCTCCTTTGCATTCTTCTGTTTTTCATCTTTTAGAGACATCTTCCCACTTTAATGGTAGAATGTTATATATTTCTGATTTTCCTGACATTGTCCTCTTACCAATAATATAACTTGCTAAGGTATGGCTTTATTTGAAAAAATACCCATCCTAATGCAAATGTTCAGCCCTACAAAGATATTACTATTGCAACAAAGTTAAAGAATTATTGGATATTTCATTCAATGCCATCCAAGAAAAGCCAAATAACAGCTATACCCCAATCCGTACTGCTAGAGTAAATCTTCATCAATAAAATTAGCCCTAAAGTGTGATAAAAATATCTATTGATAAAAATTTAGGATGGAGTTTGTGCAACTAAGCTTGTATACAGAACATGACTCAACATGATTATAGGATATGGTCTAACCTTCAGCACTACCTCTCCATTATCAATTGCTGTAGTGTTTTTCATAGAATTATAAATCAAATATCCACAGGAATTCAAACACTTGAAATGATGAGCTCTTCCCATAAAAACANCACAGGAATTCAAACACTTGAAATGATGAGCTCTTCCCATAAAAACAGAAGTTCAAAACATCAGGGTTAGAAAACACTGAGTGTGTTGGCAGAGATGGAAATGACACCTGTGTCCAGTGGCATGCGCTTCCTCTCCCCGAGATTCAGGCATCTCAAAAGGTTGTAGGGCTTCCCTCGTGGCGCAGTGGTTGGGAATCTGCCTGTCAATGCTGGGGACGCGGATTCGAGCCCTGGTCCGGGATGATCCCACATGCTGCGGAGCAACTGGGCCCGAGCGCCACAGCTACTGAGACTGCGCTCTCGAGCCCACGAGTGACAACTACTGAAGCCCGCAAGCAGCAAGGAAGACCCAAGACAGCCAAAAATGAATAAATAAATAAATATTTTTTTAAAAAGGTTATATATTGTATGGTTCTATTCATATGCCATTCTTTTTATTTATTTTTTTTAAGCTGTGTTGGGTCTTCGTTGCTGCGCGTGGGCTTTCTCTAGTTGCAGCGCACGGACTTCTCATTGCAGTGGGTTCACTTGCTGTGGAGTATGGGCTCTAGGCGCACAGGCTTCACTAGTTGCAGCACGCGGTCTCAGTAGTTGTGGCTCGCAGGCTCTAGCGCACAGGCTTAGTAGTTGTGGTGCACGGGCTTAATTGCTTCACGGCATGTGGGATCTTCCCAGACCAGGTCTCGAGCCCGTGTCCCCTGCATTGGCAGGCGGATTCTTAACCACTGCGCCACCAGGGAGACCCCCATATGACATTCTTAATAAGATAAAAATATGGAAGAACAGACCAGTACTTGCAAAGAGTTAGGAATAGGGGAGTTTGTAATTACAACAGGATAGCACAGGGGAGTTTTGGGGAGCAATGAAACTGTTCTGTATAATCATGTGATGGCTACATGATCTATACAATGTATTAAAATTCAAATAAACAGAAATGTACACCAAAAATAGTCAACTTTTCTATATAATTACTTAGGAACAAAAATTTAAAACACTAAGTTCAAAATGGCAAAATAGGGCTTTTGTAAGTAACTGAAGATGTTACTGCAAACTTCACCGCCTTCTCTTGAGCCTGGGAAGCCAGTCTGGGTGCTGACAGCCTCCCTTTTTCTTCCTTTCCCTATGGCGGTGTTGACTGCTTTCATTTGTCTTGTTTCTCCCGAGGCTGCAGAATGGGGCCGCCTTCTGCACACACTCACTGTCTTCAGAGACAGTAAGAAACAAATACACTGACCATAGGGGAGGTTTAAAGCTCGAATGTGTCTGAATCTGAGCTGTGACTGACTCTGCACACTGCATAGAGCTTTTTTTTTCACTTCTGTTGAATAAATTCTCACCTAACTACTGCAAAGCAGGAAAGCCCATAGTAATTGCATCCACTCTCTCTTCTGACTTGATTTAAGAAGAATAAATCAATAAAATATAAGGAGCTAAATCCAAAAGATACCATAATGTTAGCTGAATCAGCCAATTGCAAAAATCCAAACATATTAGATACTCACATTAATGTGGAAAAGATAGTGGTGTGTTGAGTTCTTTGCTCATATAATATGGGAAAGGATAATTCACTCCATTATCAGCCTTGGAGGAAATGGACCAACTAAGAGTCACCTTGCTTCTCCTGGACAGGAGCTAGTGATTACAATGAGGGAAATAATCAAAGCCGGTTGAGGTGTTGGGCTGCAATACTAGTCTTTCTTGTTTAGATGTATTAAATCTGATTTAGTATGATGACTTTCCCTATAAGAAAAAAAAGAGTTTGCAATTTACTAACAACCATAACTCAGACAAGAGGCATCATTCTTACCATACCAGTCATTAATTATATACATCCTGAGGAAGAATATGAGGGATCTTGAGAATAGCCTACACCTTGACCAGGTGTTGCAGAACTAGGGAATTAATTATTTATGCAACTTCTTTCATTCCATTGATTTAGGTACAACACTAAGGAAACAACATTTTAAAAGAGAAGGTTATGCTTAGTAATGTTTAATCCAGTCAAAGCATGAAGATGAGGCAGGAGATTTGTAGCAAGCTGTCTCTAGATTAGCCATTAGTCCAAATGCCTTTAGGCAAGCCAGTATAATAGTAAGGGGCTGATAAATACATATAAAAAAATGTCCCATATACCGCAGAAAGAAAGATTTCAATCATAATGGTAACAAAACATTACAAGTCTAGGAATAAATTTAATTATTTTAAGCAGTGCTTTACCGAGAATTAAAGACATTTATAAATAGCAATAAATAGTATGTTCTTAATCAAATTATCAAATATACACGTTAAGGAGTTTTGTTCTCCACAAATCAATTTATAATTTAATTCAATTACAAAGTTTAAATCAAAATATGAATAAATAGCAGAATTCACCTTTTCTTATTTCTTTCATAAACATCTACTGATAATCAACTATGTGAAAAAGTTTGTGCTAGGTACTACAGATAAAGCAGCAAATAAGACACACAACTCTGTCTTCTAAATTCTATGCAAGAGTAAATGTAAACAGATACTTACAGAATTTCGTAAAGAGAATAGATTTGTGAATTTTATATAAAGCTCACATTCTCAAATCACTTCCTATCCTAATTTAACTCAAAGACACACAAAAAAATGCCATCAATGGACACTAAAGGAAGACCTATGTCACATTTTCTCAATAAGAAAGTGGTACATAAAAAGCACATAAAACAGGCTGACAAATTTTACCACAAATTTACAGGAAGAAAATTACTATAAAGCTGTACTTTATTACTATCTCTTGCAGGACAATTAAAAAAGCAGATGTTTGAGGAGAAGACTTGATGAATGGGGAATGCTCAATTCAAGATATAATGGTAAGTGAAAAAATCTTGAGCCTATTTATAATAAGAATTTATAAAAAAGGGTAAACTGAATATTAGCAACATTATGCGATTACAGAATTGTCAATATCATATTATTGAATATCACACATTTCCTATAACCGGCATGTAACGTTGTATAATCAGAAAAATAATAAATGCTGTTTTCAAAACACAGTATTTAAAAATCTATTCACAATAAGGATTGTGATATTGATACCAGGGAGTTATTTAGAGAAGAAGAGTCTGAATAGCAATGTAACATCAATCTTACAATTTTGAAATAAAATATTACTAACTCCCTTCAAGAATTCAGTAAGCAACAGTTATCCACAAAAATTTATAACACTTTCTGGGTCACCTTGAACCTAATCTTCTTACTCTATGCATTTCATGTCTAATACATTAGTTTCCACTTGCAGGCAAACAATATGACAAATGCTATACATGAAAGTCTGTGCCAAAGGAAGGAGGCTGCCCCAGTCGCAGCTCTGAGTACAGGTAGCAAGTGCCTGGGAAGCACTGTGTACTTGCTGCACAGAAGTAGACAGCTGAGTCTCCAGGCTGGGTGTCTGAGATGTGCAGGGAGAGACGTTTGGCCTTGTCATTCAATAAAACACTCCATCTTTGGTGTTCTCTTTTGCTCTTATTTGAACGAATGTCTATAAGGAGCTGGGGACCTTTTCCAGGTTCTTTCTTATACCAAAGGAAGTAGTCTAAAGCAGAGTCTGTATAAGTACAGGTGATAACAGAGCTGTTTCCCTCCTGGACAGTCAGGGTAGAAGGACTCTGCTCCATCTTCTCTCCAAGGCTGACACCTATGCGGAAAGAAGAAGTCAGAGAAAGGAGAAGGGTTGCCAGATTACTAAGCTCCAGAATTTACTTTTCCTTCTCTATAATAACTAGAAGAAACCTGAATAAAGCCAGTCTTGGCTTCTAAAGAATATCCACTAATACACTGTTTCCCTTAAACCCTCAACTCACAGTCCAGCTGCAGCCACAAGAACACGATTAAAGCCCCAGTGGGGGGCTTCCCTGGTGGCGCAGTGGTTGAGAGTCCGCCTGCTGATGCAGGGGACATGGGTTCGTGCCCGGTCCGGGAGGATCCCACACGTTCATGGAGCGGCTGGGCCCATGAGCCATGGCCGCTGAGCCTGCACGTCCGGAGCCCGTGCTCCGCAACGGGAGAGGCCACAACAGTGAGAGGCCACAACAGTGAGAAGCCCGCGTACCGCAAAAAAAAAAAAAAAAAGAGCAATGGTAGCAGGCAAGGTTGCAGATCCCTGTCCAGACCCATATCCCAATTCCTCTTAATCCCAAAATAACTCACCCAAGATCAGGAGCACAGTCACTCTTGTCAAATGCCTCATATTCTAGTGTAAACCAGGACCCAGGGTCAGGCCCTGTTGCTGAGTCTGAGCCTGGACCAGGGATATGAACCAGGGACGAGGCACAGCAGCACCTGCCAGAGCCCACACTAGCAGCTCTCACCTAGGGCTGTCCCCAGAAGCAAGCCAATAGCAGGGTGACAGCTCCTCAGAATGGGCTTCCCTTCAAGGTTCAACTGAGCACTCAGGAAGAAGAATAGAGGGTAAAAACTTCCAGCACAACAGCATAGCAGTCTGCTTTCCTTTTAGATGTTTGCCTAGGTCTAACCCTTTAGCGATTTAGTCTGAATGAAACAAATATATCAGAGGGTAGATTCCACTGGGCTCCTTATTCCCCATCAATTTTCCACAGTCCCAGAAGGTGGTCATCTACTGTAGCCAGTCTCATACTCATGGAGCTCTGAGAATAACCCATCTGACCTAGAAGTTCATGCCCAGAAATCCCCCATTGACTCCTGTGTAAGATGAAATGGAATCTTAATCTTATTCCATAAAAGAGCAAATGAGACCATCTGAACTGGACCTTTCATCTCTTGACACCCTGGTGTCGTTTTATAATCACACTAAGTCCACATCTTACATCTGCTACTCAAATCTCACTTAACAGTTTTTAAACAGGGAAGCAGACCCCTCACTAGTCCCTACTGACCAGCTAGGACAGGACATTTGATGTAGAAGAGAGGAAGTGAGGAGAAGAAAAGGCACAAGTTCAGAGTCAGACCTAAATCCAAATCCCAGCTCTGCCACCTTGCAACCTTGGGCAACTCACTCCTCTGAGCCTCAGTGTCTTCATCTGTAAAATAGGGAGAATAACACCTACTTCAGAGTCAGCCTATGGTATACGGTCAACAGTAAATTGTAATTCCTTCCCATTCTTTTCCTTCTTGTCTACATGCGAAGAACTGTGGCCAGTAGAAAGCAGTTGTGTAGGATTATATATTTGATTGTTTAAGTGTACATATAGATCATTCACCCTTCCTTCAAGAAATACCCAATATAAACTCAGTAACAATAACACAACAATTAAAAATAAAAACAAAACATCCATTCAGGAAAGGAGCTAAATCCAAAAGATACCATAATGTTAGCTGAATCAGCCAATTGCAAAAATCCAAACATATTAGATACTCACATTAATGTGGAAAAGATAGTGGTGTGTTGAGTTCTTTGCTCATATAATATGGGAAAGGAAAATCACTAGAAAATATTTGGGGAGTGCCTCTTCGAGGTCTAGAATTGCCCAATGTATTCTGAGTGAGCAATTTTTCCATTTTCCCATGGAAGAAGATCGATGAGTGCTAATGACTTCTAGTAACATTTTGATAGAGTGGATACAACAAAGTATGGAATAAATAACCAGCTTACCTTCAGTACTAGGTGGAGGAGAAAGAAGGATATATGAGGGAGCTAAATATGTGAGGACAGCTTCTACAGAAATAGAACATAAAAGGGTTACAGTTTAGAATCAGCTCGTTGCAACAGCGACCCCATGTGGTAAATAGACTTGGACAGAAGAAATGTTTCACAGAAGTCAATAGTTCCGTGCAATTTATGGACTATCCATCATATTTTCTTTGTTAAATGCAGTAGCCAGTAGTTTGGCTTGTTCAGGTGGACCATGGGGTCTATTTTAGGCAATGGAAAAAAACCCTGAATGGGGATCTAGACAAACTAGTTGTAAACAATTCTCTGGACTTGATATCTGTGCAATTTTGTACAACTCACTTATCGTCTGACAAGCACAGTTTCTTCATCTTTATAAGAGATATTATGGAGATTAATTAAATGAACATAATAAAGTTCTTTCTAAACTATAGATTTCTATATAAATACCAACTATGTTTAACATAGGAAATATCACAAGACCAAAAAATAATCTTACCTTTTCAGGACAACAAATGCAACTTGATGTTTCTGGTTTGCCATCTGTTAACTCACTTAGGAGTTTATTACTGGATATCAAGCAACGAGAGGAGGAAACACTAGAAGCTTTCCTATGTTGCAGCCTTTGGAATGAAAGTAATCATTAAAGGTTGTGTTGTGTTATGCATTGAATTTTGTCCCACCTCCCCTGCCCCCTCCCAAAAAAAAAAGATATGTTGGAGTCCTAATCCATAGGACCTCAGAATGTGACCTTATTTAAAGATAGGTCTTTACAGAAGTAATCAAGTTAAAATGAGGTTATTTTGGAGGACTCTAATCCAGTATGACTGGTGTCCTTATAAAAAAGGGAAATTTGCACACAGAGACAGATGCAAATAAAGGGAAAACAATGTGAAGAGGCACAGAGAAAAGATGGCCGTCTACAAGCCAAGGAGAGAGTCCTGAAACAGATCATTCCCTCACAGCGCTCTGAAGGAACCAGCCCTGCTGACACCTTGATCTTGGACAAGATGAGAGACAATAGCCTTTACAACTGTGAGACAATAAATTTGGGGAAGGGGAGAAGATGAAGAGCTAAACCTTGCACCACTTAATTTTAAGCGTTTCTGGATTCTTGCAGAGAACCCAGTGAAACTCATTATACAATCAGAAAAAGATCAGAGGAGGGAGGACTGACTGGAGCACAAGGTGGCTCCAAGGAGAGTGGTTCCTCTTGGAGAGAGAGGTCCCCCTAGCATCCAGGCAAGGGGAAGTTCTCACATGGCTGCAGCAGGTGGCTGTCTACATCTACAGCTCTCAGGAAAACCGGGATAATTTTCTGTCCCCAAAAATGTTTCTCCACCCCTACCTTCTCTAAAATACTTAAAATTATATTTCAGGGACAAAAACTGATTCCACAAGTAACAACAAAAAAAAAATGTCGGGCTTCCCTGGCGGCGCAGTGGTTGAGAGTCTGCCTGCCGATGCAGGGGACACGGGTTCATGCCCCGGTCCGGGAAGATCCCACATGCCGCGGAGCGGCTGGGCCCGTGAGCCATGGCCGCTGAGCCTGCGCGTCCAGAGCCTGTGCTCTGCAACGGGAGAGGCCACAGCAGTGAGGGGCCCGCGTACCGCAAAAAAAAAAAAAAAAAAAAAATGTTGCTTGAATGAAATTTAACCACAATGTAATTCAATAGGATAATATTAGCTCCTTTCCTAAAAGCAGGTTTCCTGGTATAGAAGATGGTATTAGAATATAGGTCCAAAAAAAAAAAAAAATAGGTCCAAATGATGTGATGAAGGCCAAAGTAAAGTAACTTAAACAAGATAGAAGTGTATTTCCTTCTCATGTTACAGCCCAAATATTAGCAGTTCAGGGCAAATACAGGAGTTCCATAGTGTTGGTGATGGTCCTAGTCCATTTGGGCTGTTATCACAAAAATACCATAGACTGGTGGCCTAAACAACAAACATTTACTTCTTAAAATTCTGAGGGTTAGGAAGTCCGAGATCAAGGGGCCAGCAGATTGGGTGTCTGGTGAAGACCCACTTCCTTGTTCATAGACCACTGTCTTCCTGATGCTTTGTCATATAGAGGAAGGGGTGAGGAAGCTCTCTGGGGTCCCTTTTATAACGAAACTAATCCCATTCATAAGACCTTCACTCTCATGACCTAAACATTTCCCATAGGCCCCACCTCCTAATACTATCACCCTGGGGATTAGGTTTCAACATATGGATTCCGGCAAGACACAAGCATTCAGTCTGTAGCACTGACTGAAGGCATAGCAGTGACCTAAGTACCATATTGCTATGCCTCCCTCAACACCCACCTTTATTTGGGGTCTAAGACATATTTTTATATGGACAACAATCCTCACAACAATCCTTCCAGTTATCTCAACTTTATGAATTAGGAGACGAGGCATACAGAGTATAAATGGCTGATCCAATGTCCCATAGTTACTAAGAAGAATCAGAAAATATAATTTATACTTCCTAATTCTCAATTTAGTCCTCTTTCCACAGAGTTCTTAAAGTGAGATAAAAGGATAAAAAAATGAATATTATGAAGAAAAACTCTATTGAATTTCTAGTTTTGCCTAAAAGTTACCTAACTTTCCTCCTCAAGGTAAAACAGGCTAATTACCAGGACCAAATGCCAAAACAGAACTTCTAAGGAAACTTAGTTG